CAATGCAGTCTGGAGAGAGATTCCTTTTGCCTGGGGGAAAGAGAGGAAAGTAAGCTAGGGGCTTTGCCTGGGAACCCAGAGAACAATCCCTGATATTCCCCAAGTCCAACAGGGCTGAGGACCTAGGAATCTATAAGGATTGCAGTGTACCTGGGCCTAGGGTGTCCTGTAGTACAAAAATGGCTGCAGTGACCACTGGCTTGGGGAACTCATCAGCCCACTTTGAATTCCTGGAAGGCCCTCTGAAGGGCAGGTACAAACGAGACCTGACTAGAAAGGCTGGAATAAATACCTTATCCTTCAATGCCCAGATATTGACAAACATCGACAGCATCAAGAACATTTACGTTAATATGACCTCATCAAATGGACCAATTAAGGCACCAGTAACCAACCCAGGAGAGATGGAGATATGTAACCTCTCAGGGAATTCCGAGTAGCTATTTTGAGAAAGCTCAGCGAACTTCAAGAAAACAGAGAAACAATTCAGAAATATATCAGATAAACTTAACAGGGATACTGAAGTAACAGAAAAAAAAAAAAAAAGATCCTGGAGCTGGAGAATGCATTAGTGGGTCTCAGCAGAACTGATCAAGCAGAAGAAAGAATTAGCATGAAAACAAGCTATTTGAAAATATGGTCAGAATAATAAGAAAAAACACAGAATGCTTAAGAGACCTAGAAGAGTGCCTCAAAAGAGAAAATCAAAGATTCTTTGGCCTTAAACAGGGGGTTGAGAAGGAGAAAAGAGTAGAAAGTTTCTTCAGGCCGGGCATGGTGGCTCACGCCTGTAATCCAAGCACTTTGGAGGCCAAGGCGGGTGGATCACCTGAGGTCGGGAGTTCAAGACCAGCCTGACAAACATGGTGAAAGCCCATCTTTATAAAAAAATAAAAATAAATAAAAAATAAAGAAAGCTTCTTCAAAGAAATAATATTAATAACAGAAAACTTGCTAAACCTAGAGAAAGATATAATATCCAGGCACAGAAAAATCAAAGATCACTAAACTGATTCAATCCATATTAACCTGCCCCAAGTCATATAATAAATTCTTACAGATGAAGGACAAAGAGGGGATCCTAAAAACAGCAAGAGAAGAGCAAATAACATATAAAGTAGTTCCTCCCTCCCTCCCTGTCTCTCCCACTTCTTTTCCTCCCTCCATCCCTCCCTCCTTCCCTTCCTTGCTTCCTTTTTTCCTTTCTTTTCTTTTTTTCCTGAGACGGAGTCTTGCTCTGTTGCCCAGGCTGAAGTGCAGTGGCACTATCTTTGCTTACTGAAACTTCCACCTCTAGAGTTCAGGCAATTCTCCTGCCTCACCCTCCTGAGTAGCTGGGATGACAGGTGTGTACCACCATGCCTGGCTAATTTTTGTATTTTTAGTAGAGACAGGGTTTCACCATGTTGGCCAGGTTGGTCTCGAACTCCTGACCTTGTGATCTGCCCACCTCAGTCTCCCAAAGAGCTGGGATTACAGATATGAGCCCCCGCACCTGGCCTAAAGTAGTTTCAATACATCTTGTGGCAGACTTCTCAGTGGAAAGCTACAGGCCAGGAGGCAGTGAGGTGACATATACAAAATGCTGAAGGAAAAATAACTGTCCAGTGAGAATATTGTACCTGGTGAAAGCTATCCTTCAAACATGAAGGAAAGGTAAAGACCTTCCCATACAAATAGAAGCTAAAGGAATTTATTTCCATCAGATCTGTCTTACAAGAAATGCTGAGTTCCTCAGTCTGAAAAAAAAGTTCATTAACTTGCAGCAAGAAAGCATCTGAAGCTATGACACTAACTGGTAAAAGTCAGTATACAGACAAATCCATTTTATCTAATAATGTGATTGTGGTGTGTAAACCTCCCATACCTTTAGTATAAAAACCAAAAGATATAATTATTAAAAATAATAACTACAGAAATTTATTAAGAGGAAGTTTTAAAAAGATATAAATTGAGACATCATCTAACAGTCAAAATATGGAGCGGAAGATGGAGTTGAAGTACAGAGTTTTTAAGGTTCTGTTGTCATTGTTTGTTTCAATTATTTTCTTTGCAATCATAGTTAAGTTGGTATCAGATTAAAATAATTTACAAGCATAAGACATTTTTTTCTGCAAGCCTCATGCTAACCACAAAGAAAAAACCTATGATAGACACACTAGAAATAAAAAGCAAAGAATTAAAACATACTATCAGGAAAAATCACTCAACCATAAAGGAACACAATAAGAAAGGAAAAAAGGAAATGAGGAGTTTCAAAACTACCAGGAAACAAGTAACAAGATGGCAGTAAGTCCCCTTTAAAAATGTAGATAGACTAAAAATGGAGGGATAAAAAAAGATATTCTATGGATATGGACACAAAAGAGCACAACTAGCTATTTTTATGTCAGATAAGATTAGGCTTTAAGTAAAAATAATTTAACTGACCAAGAAGGCCATTCATTACATTATGATAAATGCATCAATACACTAAGAAAATATAACCGTCGCAAATGCTTGTACACCCAACATTGGAGCACCCAACATTGGAGCACCCAACTATATAAAGCAAATATTAACAGACCTAAAGGGAGAGATTGACTCCAATACACCAACAGTAGGGGACTTCAATACCCTCCTTCCAGCAACGAACAGATCATTCGGGCAGAAAATCAATAAAGAAACATTGGCGTTAATCTGGACCCTAGACTGAATGTACCTTACGGACAGTTACAGAACTTTCCACCCAATGGGTGCAGGATACAGATTCCTCTCAACATACATGGAATGTTTTCCAGGACAGACCGTATGTTAGGCCACAAAACAAGTCTTAACAAATATTTAAAAACTGAAATTGTTATCAAGTGTCTTTCTGATCACATGCAATAAAACTAGTAGTCAATAACAGGAGAAGTTTTGGAAACTGTTCAAATTCACGGAAATTAAACAACACGGTCAGGAACAACAAACGGATCAATGAAGAAATTAAAAGGACATCTAAAAAGCTTCAGCACACTGAAAGAAAGGATTAATAGAGAGAAGCAACAACTTACAGAATGGGAGAAAGTCTTTTCAAGCTCTGCATCTGATAAGGAGTTAATAAACATAATATATAAGAAACTTAATAGCAAAAAAACCCCCAAATGATCTTATGAGCAAAAGACCTGAATAGAAATTCTTAAAAGAAGACATACAGGGCCAGACGCACAGTGGCTCATGCCTGTAATCACAGCACTTTGAGAGGCCAAGACAGGCGGATCACTTAAGGTCAGGAGTTCGAGACCAGCCTGGCCAACGTGGTAAAACCCCATCTCTACTAAAAACGCCAGTAGTCCCAGCTACTCAAGAAGCTGAGGCAGGAGAATCGCTTGAACACAGGAGGCGGAGTTTGCAGTGAGCCAAGATCGCGCCACTGCATTCCAGCCTGGGCGACAAAGTGAGACTCTGTTTCAAAAAAAAAAAAAGACATACAAATAACCAACAGGTATGAAAAAATGCTCAACATTACTAATCATCAGAGAAATGCAAATAAAAACTACAATGAGCTATCACCTTACCCCAGTTAGAATGGTTATTGTCACAAAGCAAAACAAAAAAAGAAATAATAACAAATGCTGGCAAGGATGTTGAGAAAAGGTAACTTACGTATATTGTTTGTGAGAATGTAAATTAGTACATCCAATTTGGAAAGCAATATGGTGGTTTCTCAAAAAATTAAAACTAGAACTACCCTATGACTCAGCACTTCCATACTTGATGTCTATCCAAGGAAATGAAATCAGTATGTGGAAGAGACACCTGCACACCATTGTTTATTGCAGCACTATTCACAATAACCAAGGTATGAAATCACCCTAAATGTCCATCTAAAGATAGACATAAAGAAAATGTGGTGTATATATACAGTGGAATGCTATTCAGCCACAAAACAGAAGTAAATCCTGTCATTTGTGGCAATGTGGATGAACCTGAAAGACATTATGTTAAGTGAAATATCCAGGAATGGAAAGACAAATGTTGCATCTCACTCATATATGAAATTGAAAAAGGTTAATTTCATAAAGGAGTAAAATAGGATTTAAGAGGAAACTAGCCTGGAGCTATTCAACCGCAATGATTAAGGACTGTAAACTGCATATCAATTCATAACTTGCCAAAGAATCTTCTGTGCAGTTTCCCTTGTTTTTTTGATTGGCGTCATCCTTTAGAGCTTCTTTCTTCCTTGAAATAATATTAAATAAGTGCTTCACTCCAGATTTAAAACCAGGACCAAAACATAATACCTGAAGTATACTATTAAGATAACGGGTAGTGCCGAGATTATTCAGTCCCACAAATGGTAACAAGTTTTCTCTCTTCTCACAGTTTATAGGTGAAGACTGTGCTGCAGGAACAACTTGATCAATTTCAGATGCTCTATATTCAGAAGGTTTTTCTTCATTTTCTTGAGAATTTGTGAAATCGGAAGCTCTCTTAGTTTCTTTCTTTTGAAAAAACTTTAAAGAAAGTCTGTTTTGTGTCCTTTGTAGGGACATGGATGAACCTGGAAACCATCATTCTCAGCAAACTGACAGAAGAGCGGAAGATCAAACACTGCATGTTCTCACTCACAGGCGGGTGTTGAACAATGAGAACACAGGGACACAGGGAGGGGAGCACTACACACTGGGGTCAGTTGGGGGGAAATAGGGGAGGGACGGTGCGCGGTGGGGAGCTGGGGAGAGATAGCATGGGGAGAGATGCCAGATGTAGGTGATAGGGAGGAAGGCAGCAAACCACACTGCTACGTGTGTACCTATGCACCAATCTTGCATGTTCTTCACATGTACCCCAAAACCTAAAATGCAGTAAAATAAATACATGAAAAAAAAAAAAGTCTGTTTTTCTTTGATGGGCTACCTCTGGAAAGTCCATTACTTTCAGTAGGTATGACACCAGGCATCTTTTTCTTCAAATCCCAAGGAGTTGTCAAGAACAAATTTATAAGGAAAAGTTGTAATCACCGATTATATCTGGTCATGGCCAAAAGCGAGGTCCACGGCGGTGACGCCGGCGAGTCCAACCCGAATGAGTGTGGGTGCGACAGGCGAGTCCCTGCTCCGAGCCCGCCGGGCCCCCGGCCCCAGGAAAATCCGGTCGGATCGCCCTCCCCTCGGGGCAGTGACCACCGGCTCCCACGAGCGGGAACTCGGGCCACCGCGCGGTCCCGCCTGGGACCGGCACCAACTGCATCCCCGGAGCTGAGCGGCGCCCGTCCACGCCCGCCCCGGGATGCCCGGGAGCGCAAGCAGCAGCGCCCCGCTCGCGAGCGCCGGAACCGCGAGGGTCCTTCGCGCCCCGCCACCGAGGGGAACTCGCGCGTTTTCCTGTCTCAGGACCCCCGCGATCCGGCCTCCGCCCGCGCCAGCGCCGCAGCTGAACGCGGCATCCTTTGAAATCGCCGGTTCCAGTCTCCACGTTGCAGAGACGCGAAAGACAGAAACACACTGATGAACCTGCCGCTCGGCCAAGGCGGCTGCTTAACAAGCTCAGGGAATTCAGCCCTGTGTGCGAAGGACATCTACAGCATGATGCACACGAAGTATTACAGTGTGTTTCGGGAAACATTCAAGAAACATGCCAACTCCTAAGAAAAGAAGAAGTAAAAAATGTGGCAGAATTCTCTACTAAGGTAGAAGAAATACATCATCAGAAAGAGGAAATGAGTGGCGTTAACAGCACGCACGTGGACGGTATGAGGCGTTCTGAGGACTTTAAAGAAAAACTCCCAAAAGGAAATGGGAAAAGAAAAAGCGACACTGAATTTGGTAACATGAAGAAAAAAGTTAAAGTCTCCAAGGAACACCAGTCATTGGAAGAGAACCAGAGACAAACTAGATCAAAAAGAAAACCTACAAGTGATACATTAGAGATTCCTCCTAAAATAATTCCCAAGTATATTTCTGAAAATGAGAGTGCAAGAGCTTCACAAAAGAAATCAAGTGTTAACACAACTAATGGACTTGAATCTCCAGGAAATACTGTTATACCTGTAAATATTAATGAAGTTAAATCCATAAACAAAGGTGAGGAACAAATTGGTTTTGAGCTAGTGGAGAAATTATTTCAAGGTCAGCTGGTATGAAGGCCTCGTTGCTTGGAATGTGAAAATTTAACAGAAAGAAGAGAAGATTTTCAAGACATCAGTGTGCCAGTACAAGAAGATGAGCTTTCCAAAGCAGAGGAGAGTTCTGAAATTTCTCCAGAGCCAAAAATGGAAATGAATACCCTGAGATGGGCAATTTCACAATTTGCTTCAGTACAAAGGATTGTAGGAGAAGATAAATATTTCTATGAAAACTGCCATCATTATACTGAAGCTGAAGGAAGTCTTTTGTTTGACAAAATGCCTGAAGTTATAACTATTCATTTGAAGTGCTTTGCTGCTAGTGGTTTGGAGTTTGATTGTTATGGTGGTGGACTTTCCAAGATCAACACTCCTTTATTGACACCTCTTAAACTGTCACTAGAAGAAGGGAGCACAAAGCCACCTAACGACAGCTATGGATTATTTGCGGTTGTGATGCATAGTGGCATTACAATTAGTAGTGGGCATTACACTGCTTCTGTTAAAGTCACTGACCTTAATAGTTTAGAGCTAGATAAAGGAAATTTTGTGGTTGACCAAATGTGTGAAATAGGTAAGCCAGAACCATTGAATGAGGAGGAAGCAAGGGGTGTGGTTGAGAATTACGATGATGAAGAAGTGTCGATTAGAGTTGGTGGAAATACACAGCCAAGAAAAGTTTCAAACAAAAAAAAATGTAGAAGCTATTGGACTTCTTGGAGGACAAAAGAGTAAAGCAGATTATGAGTTATACAGCAAGGCCTCTAACCCTGATAAGGTTGCCAGCACAGCATTTGCTGAAAATAGAAATTCTGAGACTAACGATGCTAATGGGACCCACGAATCAGATAGAAACAAGGAATCCAGTGACCAAACAGGCATTAATATTAGTGGATTTGAGAATAAAATTTCCTATGTAGTGCAAAGCTTGAAAGAGTATGAGGGGAAGTGGTTGCTTTTTGATGATTCTGAAGTGAAAGTTACTGAAGGGAAGGACTTTCTGAATTCCCTTTCCCCTGCTACATCTCCTACTTCTACTCCTTACTTGCTATTTTATAAGAAATTATAGAGTGAGTGTATTTTCCTTGTGTATGTTTAAACATACCCACACAAACATCGGTACAGTTGGTTACATCAAAGAGTCTTTATCTTTTGAA